CTCCCGCATCCCTCCTATTAAGGAGGGAGCGGGTTATCCTGAACAGGGCGGCTGGGCGTGACTCGGCGGACGCAACCAAGGACATTTATAACAAATGTTCCGTTAGATATTTATTTTATCTGCTTTGTAAATTAATAAAGACAAAGTTGTTGCTTTTTTTTTTCACTTATCACAATACTTCTTTGCTGATGTTAGGAAGAATTTGGCTATGTGTAGACAAAAAAGAAGAAGTAAGAAAGAAAGAAATGCAAAAAGACAAGCAAAATTAACCCAACCTAGAAATGTACTTCTCCTATCCAAAAAAGCAGGCAGCTTACAGGTTGACCCACAGCCTATTTAGGAAATAAATGAGTTGCACAGCTCTATCTTTCTTAATTCCCTTTAATGTGCTTTAGATGATGAGATTTAATTTAGCAATTTGACTCAATAAAACGTTACACTTGTAGGGTCAATGGTCTGAAAATTTAATTCCAGAGACTTAATTGTATTACTTTGTGTGTGCTAATCAATAAAATCAATTTGATTGAGAGTGGAAAGTTGTGCTTTCTCTGTCTAAATAAATCCAGCAAAAATGACCACACTTTTTTTTCCTCCAGTAGAAAGAGTTTTGTACTTATTCAGTTGATACAACATAATGTTTATACAACTGTAGTGTTAATACTCTTAAATCAGTCATTTCAGTTTTCAATTAATAAAGATTAAAAGTATATATTTTCAAAAATCTGTATTTAGTTTTTAGAATTTAATTTTTTCTACTTTCAGTGCTCTTAAAACAGATTAACTTGCACTTATAGATCAATAAAGGAATTAAAGTTTACTATTCTAGAATATATATTCTAAGTTCTGTATTTAACCTGCTTGAAAGATTATATGTATGAATGAAACACACAGAAATACTTGTTTCTGTTGAAATTAAAACATCATGGTATCTACTTAATGTTATCTTGTGTTTAGATCAATAATATGCTGTAGTAGAATATAGTGTATAGCATAATAGTTCAATCCTAAGTCAATATTTGCTTATTTACCTTCTTCACAGTTTTCTCCTTTGTATCCAGAGTTGCAGGCACAAGAGCCCATAATACAAATCCCACGACCTCCACATTGAGGGTCAATGCACTGGGTGGTAGGCACATCACACTCAGTACCCTTCCAACCACTATAGCATAAGCAACGTCCTTTGGAGTACTGCCCATTGCCACTACACAATACTGGGCAGGCTGCTGTGAAATAAAACATGACAGAAAACTTAACATAATTCTTTTCAATCAAGCTTTAGAGGCAGAGGTACATCTTGACAAGTTGTACTTCAAAATCTTTTTTCTTGCTTCTTAGTAACTACTTGTTTTTTCTGCTTCTTATTTGAACTTATTTAAGAAAGAATTCAGTTTATATACCTCTTGAACAATCGGGGCCAAGAAAGCCAGCAAAACAATGGCATGATCCTGAAACACATTCTCCGTTTCCATGGCAATTTCGAGGGCATTCAACCACAGACTCTGAAATTACCAAAAGAAGAAAATTCTAACAGGCAGCAATCAGTGCACTGAAATAAAGCAGCAAAAATCCTTCTTTATATAACCTATAAATGTTAGTAAATTAACATACTCTTAGAAATCATATACCTAATGTATATGTGCCTTCAAGAGAATAAATAAAAATATTTAAATAAAAATCTAGGATATAAATAAAATAAAAATTTACAAGCTTTATAGGTCACTTTTTATTACATTTCATATCTTGTTTCTTTAATTAACATGGAATTGCATTTCTTGTTTAATAATTATGTATAGTTAGAAAGATTATACTAGAAAGTTTGAAGTTTAGAGATATTCAAAATATTCTTAAAGAATATTGTGAATACTCTACTTACCTATAACAATTGTATTAAAAGACACTTGCTCTGCATTTTTTCCATCGTTGTAAAAAGCCAGGTGCCAGATCCCAGCATCCAAATACTGAATGAACCCCGCTTCATGAAGGCTAACAGATCTTGTCTGTCTGCCTGCTCTCTCTGTCTCAAGAAGGTTACGCTGCTCCTTTGCAATCAATCGGCTCCCATCCAAAAGTTCTACAAAATCATACTGCAAGGAGGGGGGGGAGGGGAAATGAATCACATGCTACATTGCATATCAATGCATTATGGAATTAATTTTCAAAACTATAATTATATTGTTCTCAGTAATAAGTATATATTTTAAAACTAGGTAAAGTGAGACTTTTGTTGCCTTGAATAGATTTTGCTTTAATTGCTAACAAAATTGCTAATCTGGAAATATTCTTTTAAAAAGCATACATTCATGGCTGAAGAGGATCATATTGATTTGCTAAAAATAAACAACAATCTTAATATTTGGACACAATTAAGAATATAAAAATAGAGAATACATGGATGCTGTGGATTAATAATTTGGACAATCCTTGGTCAAAAACATGATGGCTATATATATTTCTGACTTAAAATCATAAGAAAAAAAATATATAAATAAGAAAGTTGTTTCGGTTTAAATACTACACTGCTGTCAGAAGCACCTGTTTTTTTAAAAGAAACAAATTGGTTATCAAATGTTTATTGCAAAATCAGGTTTTCCAAAACTATTACACAAAATTAAACAAAGTTTCTTTGTTAATTATTATTATATTTCTGCAAATTGTGAAAAAAAGATGTGAAGTCTTTCAAAGCTTAAGACTATGAAATTGCATTACTTTGTATATTTTTTATACTTGTCTGCAGCGTGAAAAAAAATGTTATAATATAATGCATGCAGAGAAATCAGGGATGAGCAAGAAGAAAACAGTTCCTTGGCACTGTCTGGGTACATTTCTACATTTTATATATGTAGTACATTTATACATTATACATATCAAGTAGGCTACGTTCATCTAAATTATATGATTGAAAATAAAAATGAATATTGGAGTATTAAGACTAAAGTTTTATTTAAAAGGACAAATTCAGAGGCATTGTACCTTTATTTTCAGGATAGACTTGCACCCTGCTTATTAACAGTACACTTGCTTATTCTAAAACCAATATCATTATTGTAATTTTATTTCTGGTCTCCATGTGTGATCAAGTTTCAAGGAAAAGGAGGATATGTCACTGAAATTTGGCCCCTGTGATCATAAGAAGAAATTGATTTTAATCTATAAAATTTTAAACGATTTTAGACGTGTATGTTAGAAAAAATGTTTCCCTTCCAAATATTGTATAGTTTAGTCTTGTTTTTAACCAGGTAAGTGAAGGTGGCTAGCCAAATTTATACTTTTTATGGAATGGGTATTTATTTATTTATGTGTAAGATTTGTAAGGCCACTTATTATTTTTTTAATAAATTTTTTATTTTTAAACAAACACAAACACACAAAGCATATAACATAAAAACCTCTTCAACTGCATACAGTGTGTCGATTGGTTACAAGGTCTTTCTGCGTCTTTTCCATAGTCATCACTTGAGCTTTATCAAAAATCACATATTGCCAATCAAATATCTTTGTATACATTATAATTATACTTCATTTGTTTGATTATCACTATTGTTTCTCCATTTTAAACAAGGTATTCTAAATTTGTATCCATTTATATTATAATGATTCATTATATCATCTTCAATATATCCAATAATAAACAATTTTTTATATCCTATTCTGTCATTCTATTATTTTAGCATTGATAACATTCTCTAATAATTTTCAATTCCATGTTTTTCTCCATTATTAGTATCATCAATCTATTATACATGTATACAAATTGTTATAATTGTTAAACATCCATTAAGCATAGCTATTATTATAACCTTTTTATATGAAACATATTAAATTTAAAGTAAATTTATATTACGGCATTTCATTACATCCTGAAATCATCCAATGATATTACATCTTTATATTCTATTCTATATAGAATTATTTATCTTTTATAAAAAGGTTTTTCAACATCATCTCCATCATCCTCACTTACAGTTTCTATAAAGTTTCATATTATCAATCTAGTATATAAAAATACTTTATTATCATTATTAATCATTTATTTGACTATAGCTCTTATTACTTTGTCTGATACATAGTACTCAAAATTTAACTACATTTAACTAAATTTTATTGTGACATTTCATTTCATCATCCTGTATCCTTCCAGAAATAATGCAGCCCAATATCTCTTGCCATTTGTAGAATCTGTATTCTAAGTGTTTTCTTGATAAGTCTTATGTGGACTTCTCTTAACAACTTGTTATTCATTGCATATCTTATAAAGATTCGAAACCCTCTATCTGTTCCTTTCATCAGCTTGACTTTTGTTATCGCTGGTGCTTCTGCCAAAATTACTCTCATTGTTTCTGCCAAATTTTCTCCCCTTTCTTCATCTATATTTTGACATCTGAGATAGAGTTACAGTTCATTGATCTTTCCTTTCTGTATTTCACACTTATCATTTCCCCCCACTCTCGATTTGCTGTCAGTGTCATCAATTTTCTTATCACTTTCATATGTCTCTGTGGTTTTTTGAACTCTGTCCTCAAATTTCATCGTTGTTTTATAAGTATTCTCAACTCTTCCCTCCATACTTTTTGAATTTCTAGCATAATTCTTTGCAATGTTAGTCCCTTTTCTTCTTCATATTGGGCCATTTTTCTAGGTTATAAACATTGCCACTGAAACATCCAAGGCTTTTTGCTAAGTTTCACACTAATTCAGTATAATCTTTCAAGTCAAAGCTTTCTCTTTATTCCAAAAGAGCACCTCTATAAACAAGACATTTTCCACTGAGCCTTTCAGCAAACAAAGCCAATAGCTTTGTATTATCAGATATTGCCAAGCCTCTAGCCTCTAGATGGCAGTGTTACATTCTTTCCCTCTGTTTTTGCCTCTCTTTCTCAGCTCCGAACTCCGGAAGAGAAGAAAAAAAAATGTTTAAAGACTCCAGCCGAGCCTTGCGAGGAAAGAAACTTTTAATCCACAAATGCAAAAAATGGAAAAAGTATAGAGGAAGAAGAGAAAAAAAGACCAGTCCAGTTTAAAAGTAAGAGGCATTTGTAAAAAGTCCATCCTTAGAAAACAAACAAAATTAAAGTGAAAAAGATAACATGATAGTTTTAAACCAGTGTTCATTCGCCGCTTACTTCCTTCTGTCTTCAATTTTATTTTAACTTTAAGTCTTTTGGGTTTTCTCTTCTCTAATAATAAGGATTTTTCTCACCATTTCGACACACTGTCTCTCCTGTTCTGCTTCCATTTCAGGGGACTGCCTAACCTTCTGAAGCCATTTTGGCAGCTTCTCTTGTAGCCGGCAAAAAAAGCTTTCTCCTGAATCGATCAGGGACTTTGCGATGTCCCTGAGATCATCAGGACATGCTCTTCTCTATCACCATTCCTTTAGAACGGTTTAGATCCAAAAAGGACCATCCAGCAACAGAGATATTGACAGCAATCCTGGAGCCCCAAAATTGTATGTTGTGTCATCTCAACATCAAGCCCCGCCCCATAAGGCCACTTATTTTGTGGCATACAACTCTGACTGGCTAGCAACAATAATGAAAATATAAACAATAAAAAGAAAAGAAAAGAAAGGAGACTAGAATCTACCTTTAAATAGCATTAAAATATGTTAGTTTCAAATACTGTTAGCATGATAGGTGATTTTACTGGAAGTTTTCCATATGAACATCAGAGTAATGGAAAATAAATTGTCTTTAAAGACGAGTTATGTATAAAGTAACTCTTAGTTACAGGCAGTTTGCTGGTAGCTCAATGGGTGACCATGAAGGGAGATTGCTTGCTCTCTCAAATAGCATCTGAGATTTTGCTCCCTATTCAGAACTGGCCACAATCTGCAGCTTATTATGTGCCTGTCATGACTGAAGCAGAAGCCTTAAATGCATCAGGGAACGAATTAGTCATCATTTATCATTTTGCTGATATCAGAGGGAAAAGGATTATAAATCCACTGACCACTAGAACTCATTAGTCAGGGATTGCGATTTTTAAAGCCAAGTACCTTGCTTAAAATAGTTATTCTTTTGAGTAGTTTTTCTTATGATTTTCTGCACAGAAAGATTCTTTCTCAGTCTCCCTTCACATCCCAGTTTGTCAAAAGTAAGATTCCTATTGTTTAGTTTAGATGTTAGTTAATTAGTTAGTTTAGTTCACTATGTCAGTGTCACTGCTGGGTTTCCTCATTGCTTTTTTGCCTGCATAATCTGTCTAGGTCAGATTTTTAAGTGAAAAGAGGGCAGCAGACTTTAGAGGAGAAACTTTGTAATCATTGTATCTCAATACTCAATGAATGATTGACTGAGGCAGATCATTTACAGGATTTGTTTATAATCGTTTATTTTATTTCTCTTTATATGTAGCACTAGCTTGATTAATGAGTACTAAAAGAAACAACAATCCTGTTGACCCTTCAGTCACAGAGCTATTTAAAAAAATTCAAAAAGCAGCAGTGAACAGCATACATTGCTAAATTCTATATCAAAATATTTTTCCCTTCTGTTTTTCATCTGCCTTATTTCATCATAACTTTCTTCCAGATCTTGGCAACAACACTGGAAATAACAACATGTATTAAATAATAAACATTCAATGAGCATTGGAACTATCTTTTATTATAATAAAATTTGAAAATCTTTGTTGTAGAGCTGCTATTTGCAGCAAATTATAATTTTTACAAATTCCTTATGTGTTTTAGATTTAGACAAGTGCCTCAAAAGTTTATACATTTTTGTTTCAAAGTACCAAAGTCATCTGTTATTTTGTAGTTTCTTTAGTTAAACATATTGACTGCCTTGTTGCAGGAAAACCAACATTCTAAGAATGTGTCATACCAACTTGAAACTACCATTGACTATTTTTGAATGGCCAGCCACTATCAATTATTTCAGGCTGACTTATTTGTGATGTCTGAGAAAACAGAGCTGTGCAACTAAGATTGTTCTGACACAGACACAAAATGTAAGAGGCAGTCATTCAGCTACATCTGGGAATATTGGTACAAACATACACACACACACACACAGGCTGAAAAACATCACTTCTTACAGCAATATAGCAAAAGGAGAATGAAAAGTAAATGCAAACATAAAGGTTTTTGAAGGATGAAATGAATAAACATATGTTATTTATAAAAATGCTTATCTGATTTCAAGTTCCTTTGATTTTTACTAAGAAATAACTGTAATGCTTTTTGTTAAAATATTTATTTAAAAAAACAATTCTAAACTTAATCAAGTTTATCTCAGATTAAAGTATCATTAAAATATGGTAGTTATATCTTATCATATAATTTATGTTAAGATTTCTGAAAAAAAATGTATGTTATTCTTCTATGAACTAGGTAAGTATATATTTGTGTGTGTGAAAGCTCAGATGTTTGGGTGTTCCAAATTATCTTTTTAGAAACATAAGTGTAGGCTGTAAAATTATAATATTATATTATGACCTTGGCACAATATATGTAATAATAAAAAATAAACTATAAAATTTTGAAACCCAAAGTAATATCCATTTCTCAAGATGTCAGGTTCTGAATATTATTTTCATTAAAAACAACTCTTACTTGTGTATGTGAAGGCGGTAAACCTTTTCGGCCATATACTCCAATCAAAGCATCTTTCTGAAGGGAGATATTGAATTTTAGAAACTGTGGTTGATCAATAAAGACTTGTGACCGCCAGAAGATCCCAGGTGGAACATCTTGTGTTGCTCTTCGACCTATATCAAGTTCTCCAGAATCTATAGTGTTATTTTCCTGTGCAAATCCTAATTTACCTGAAAAAATAAATAAAGTATTAGCTTTGATTAATTTTTTCACTAAGTCAAACATTTAGATTAGTTTCAACTAAGCTACTAATCAGATCATTCGGTGAATGTTAAAGATTTGAAGAAATTGCTGAAGAAAAAAATAACAGATTAAAGAAATGCACTTAAACTTTTTCAAACTCAAATCCTACAACTTCCATTTTTAACAAAATGTTTGTAGGATGCACTATATTTTCATTTTGTTAATGATTAATCTATTTTTTATTTTTGTTAACTATTTATCTACTGTATGTCTAATTTTGTTAGACAAAATATTAACTATAATTTTTATAAAGGATTATATTTTTATAAACAAATTTAGACAGAGAAACTAATTCATATATAAACAGGTAAGTAAAACAATTAGTAGAAATGGTAAGCCCTCTTTAACACTGCAAAACCTACAACAGTAAACATTTGTATATTAAGAAAGCTTCACCTTCAATTTAATGTATTTATCTGAACAAAAAACAATTCACACTGTTTATCTACACGTTTTGTAGACTAGCACAAGAATAACAAACATATTCCAACAAATAATAACTGTTGTTCTGTAACCACAAAGCAGACCATTCTATGAGAATCATGTAAAATAGCAGTTCTTATGTGTAATAGATAAACAGAATAAAAGATTATTAAGACAAAGCCTTTCATTTGTAAAATTCTTAATTTCAGTATCATGCTACATATACTAATATTTTTTCAGATTGTGCAGATATGCTTCTTTTGTTCTATTTGCTATGTGAATACTTCTACTCTCTTGTTTAAACAGTCTCAAGTGCTAGTGAGAACAATAGGCGGTGCCTTCATATATTGTAAAACCAGAATATCAATGTGTTTACAGATGATTCGGTTTAAAAGTTCCCTAATTCAGATAACCATCAGTCTCCTGTATCAAATAAAAACTTACTGCAGTGAAAAAAATACCTTTAGGAAAAAGAAGATAAATAATAATTCTTTTAATTTTCAGTCAAATTTGTTTTATTATTAAACTTGGAAAATTTGGACCACAAATATCCAATCCATGTATCAATATAAATTTAGTATGAGACAAACTTTAGTGTTTAAAAAAAGGTAATGGAGTCCCTGCAGATTTTAGCCCGCTAGTCATTGCCAACTACAGGGCAACAAACTATTCTCTTAACAGTCAAGAGAAGAAAATTTACACTATTCCAAACAATTAATAATTAATATAATGGCGGGTGCATTGATTAAATACCTATTTCAGCAGTCAGTGTACACAAGCAGTAATATGATTCTTCAGTGCGAAGCGGATTAAGAAAAAAACCACTGAGATGGATTTTGATATAGATTATGGGAATTTGAAGACAGTAGTTCTTTATCTTAAAAATAGTATGCTAGGCAGCAAGAACAAGATAAAAAAGAAAATGCTTCTAATTCGAATTCATCTCTAAAACTTCTCAAAGAATAACATATTCTGTGTGTGTGTGTGTGTGTGTGTGTGTGTGTGTGTGTGAGTGTGTGTTCAACGTGGCTAAAATGTTCATTCCCAAAAGTTTATGGAACTGTTTACATGCAGAAAAGAATTAGGAAGGTTAAGTAACCTTTCAGAGAGGAATGGTAAGGCCCCTAACCATATAGCAAGCTGTCCTTTGCCAAGCCTCAAACAAGTGGGAAAGATCAAGGAAGCAAGAGCTACACAGATTTCAGATGATTTTAATACTAAGTCTGGAAAATGCATTATTTTGGAAACTTTTCCCTCCCTCATTTAAAGCGAGATCTCTTTGAAAGGTTACTTAAATGATTCTTCTCAGGTTTCCTGCCACCTGGATAAATTATTATTTAGAAATATAGGATGATTGAAGCAGGAAGAGAATAGAATGGAAAGCAGAGGATAGAAGAGGAAACTGGATATTGTGTGAGAAGAGAACTGTATTTATACTATATCAGGGACGTGCAGTCAGTGGAGGCAGAGCCTCACCACTGTCATCCTGAAAAGAAAAAAAATGTAAAAGGAAAAAGGCGACAGCTGAGGTCAGGCTGTGCTAGT